GGTGGTGAAGTGGGTCCTAAAAACAGCCCAACCAGCCTGGCCAGGGTGTAAGTGAACAGGACTACAGGATGTCCCTAATGCCACGTGTGGCACAGAGTAGGTGCTCAGGAAGCTGCTGCATTGAAAGCTGTGAGTAGGATGACAGAACTTGTAGAAAAGAAAAGCTTTCAAGAGCTAACATTATCCTGCAGGAGAATTCCTTAAGGATGGAGAGTGTAAATATTCTTCTCTCAAGAGTACATCTCCTTCTAATAAAAAGGAGGTCGTTAGAACGCCGTACTCCAACAAGTTGTCATCTGGGATGCATAAGGTTCGTTTATACCTGTGATTCCCACCCAGGAGTAAGTGTTACTCCTAGGTGACATTTGGCAATGTGTGGAGACACTTCTGGTTGTCATAACTAGAAAGGCCCCTGATCCCGTAATGGCAGAAGTGACCAGGCTGGGACACTCTTACTTATCTTGATGATTGGCCCAGCAGGTGCCACAGTGGTTAAGGCACTGGACTTGCACATGACCAGTCGTGGTTTGAGTCCTGGACCTGATAGCTTGAAAAATCACACCAAGCACAAGTGCGTGTGTGCCAAAAATCCTAGGAAGAGAATGGAGAAGGGATTGTGGCATGTCCATGTGCCCTGGCCGGTAATTTCTCACTTTCTTTCTCTCTTTCTCTTTCTGTATCTCTCTCTTTCCCCTTCCTCCTGGCAAGCATACGTGCTCGATGGCAAAACAAAACAAAACAAAACAAAAAAAACACCAACTTAAAAAAAAGGATGCGGATGAAAACCTTTTCACATGCATTCAGTGAACAGGACATTTAATAGTTGTTAGTTGCAATATTTTTTTTGCCACGCATAATATAGTATTCATGAATTTTTTTCTCTTTCCCCTTTTGGTCAGTAGTATGTGATAGAATGACATGCAGATGCTGACACTGCGTGGGTGTATCCTCTGTGAGCCCAAATTAGGCCACTTTTTTACCTCCACAGCCATAGCTTCCTCCTGCCTCTCACACCCATACTTTTTATACTGCAGGAGGGGCCCAGGTAGGGGAGACCAGTGATTTCTCAACTCCATTTGAATTTCAAAGTTACCTAAACATTTATTAAAGACCTTTTCTTGTTCTTACACACAAAAACATTAAGTAATTCCAAGCTACTAATATACAGTAACTGCATCTCTGAGATCATATATTAAAATTTATATTCGTAATAACTTTATGGAACTTGAATATGAAATTGATTTTAAAGGACTTCCAGGCAGTATATATAAATTAAAATATTCCCTTCTTAGCTGTCAGATACTGTATTTTGTGCTACCCAGTTATACTTATGTATCTATCTGATTCAGACCAATATGGTGCCATGAAATGTTGCAAAACATGACCTTTTGACAAGCCCAAAACACTTAATAAAAAGTTGTCCAAGGATGTGACTTCTCGGCCTAGACTCTGTTTTTTCACCGTGGGAGTGACTGCTTACTAATGGGTAGTTCTGTTCCCGTCCACGTCTAGGGAATGACTCAGTCATCGCCCATGTTTCCCAGACTGGGGTTCCTCATTAGACTTTGATAGCAATGGCCTCTGTGCCCATTCTGTCTTGGCTCTGGCTTCCCGGTCCCTTCCCGAGTGCCTCCACCTCCACCTGCACGTGAATGGCCCAGGCGATTTCCATGAAGAACCCCATGCTTGTCAGATTGTCTCGTGTGTTTCAAGCAAGTTTTTTTTCTTTTTTTTATTAATGTCCTAATTACACATCATTCCTCTTTGACTTCAGAGACTGATTTAGAAAATACTTGAGGGAACTGCAGATGGCATAATGGTTGCATTGCTGGACTCACCCATAGTCGACTGTGGTTCAAATCCTGGAACCAGTGGTTCTAATCCTGGACCGAACAGTTTGAAACTTACATGCATGTGCGTGTGTCCCCAAAATCCTGAACAGAGAATGGAGGAGAAGGGATTGTGGCATGGCCATCCCTCCGTCAGGGTGAGGGGAAGGGGTGATTTCTCGCTTTCTGTCTCTCTCTGTCTCTCTGATGAGTGTAAGCACCCTATAGCAAAAAAATCAAAACAAAACAAAACAACTCTCAAAAAAGAGAAAATACTTGAGGCCACACTAGCATAACAACAGTTCCTAAAAGTTAGTTGTTTTATTTCTGTTGTAAAAAATATTCACATGAATTACCTTAGGAAGACACAGAAAACCACAATGACAAAAATAACATGTCTCCCATAATCCCACTGTTTACATTGAGATGTATATTTTTCTAGTCTTTTAAAATGCATATATGTGTATACACATACATACATGCACATGTAAGCTTTTGAATTGGAATCACACTGTACTGTTGTTATTTTCACGTAACATGTCATGTGACATATTTTAGTAACTAGTACCCAGACCAAAATTACCACACACAGAACTTGTGTTTATTCATCTAATAAATGTGTTTGTTGACTCAACAATGAATTGACATAATTTCTACATAGACTGCTCAGAGTTGTTGTCTTCTGTGGTTCCAGTAATGTTCTAAGAATGCTGGCCTCTTGAAAGACTTGAGTTCCTACGTGCTGTGAAATTTGGGATTTTGATGAGTTTCTCTGTGATTTAAGAGTGAGTCATGATTTGCAGCAGAATACGGAGATGTAGTAACAGGAAGTGCAGGGCACGAGGCATCAAAATAGAATGCTGAATGATGAAAGAAACCAGGCTGAACCAAAAATACACCTTGAAATGATCAAACTGTGAAGGAGAAAGGCACATTTTGTACACTTGACAACTCTTATTTATGGTTGTTTCATTTTGTAT